CCCCAGTCAGCAGTCCACGGCCCCTCCTACCCGAGGGCTCAGCCGTCAAAGACCAACCCACTCCTGGCCCCTGCCCCAACCCCACGAGGGGATCTAGGAGTTGCACAGGGGACCAGATCGTCTGTCCCTGCGGGCGACTAGTCCGTCTCCATTTTTGGAGTCGGGACCCACGTGGAGAGGTTGCCTCAAGTTGTGAGGCACATGAGTTAGGGGTCGGGGAAAGAAAATACTCAGGAATCCCTGATGGAGAGTCCTGTCTGCACAGAACGGGGCCCAGAGACCCTCTGAGCCAGGCTAACCCTGGGCTTGAGCAGGTGGGGAAACTGAGGTCAGACAGGGAAGGGCTGGTACTGATAGTGGTGGTCCTGGGACTTGAACCCAGGCCTCTGGACTCTCAGTTCAGTACTCTTTGTGTTACATCAGCTCACCTTCCAGGTTGCCATGGGGTCAGGCATCCTGCAGGGGACTGGGTGGGATGGCTGCCTAAGACCCTTCAACCCTGAGCAGGGGGGAGCCTGTGGAGTGAGGGCTGAGTGGCTTGAGTCGGGGCCACACAGCCCCAGGTTCAAGTCTCACTTCCATCTCCTGGAAAGCAAAGAGGCTTTGGTTGGTCCACTCTCCCCCTCAGCACCGTTTTGCACATCTGTGTAATGGGCTGCTGTGAGAACCATGTGAGATGATTAGCTGGAGCTTTTCCTGTGACAACAGAGTCCTGGAAATGGGTGTGCACAGATGCCTGGTTCTTCAAGCTTAGCCTCCTCTCTCCTATGACTGGGCAGGAAAATGGGTCACCGCAGCAGGATGCTGCCAGGCTGGGGCATGGGTCAAAGCCTGGTCATGGCCTGGCATGATCTGGGTGTGGCATAGGCAGCCAGGGCACTCAAGCTGGGACTGTCCTTGCCAAGCCAGCTTGGGGCGTAGCTGGGGGCCTCTGGGGCATCTGGAAGCACCAGCTTCCTGCTTCCACTTGGTGCCCAAGGGTTTACCTGGTTGAGCTGCTCCTGGAAGGCAGCCCAGGTGTTTCTGCATCACCCACCAGGGAGGGATGGAGCTGGGGTAATGATGGGCTTAGCCACCCGGGAGCTGGAGGCTGGCATGCCCTCTGGCCACCGCTCGGCAGCTGAGAGCACAGCAGAGGCGGTAGCCGCTCTTTGTGCCATGCAGTGAGGCCGCTCACTCTGCCCCCTATGTGCCCTAACTCAGGAGACTGGAAGTTAGAGGGCAGGTGGGGTCCAAAGCCCTCACACCTCACTGGGGGCTTGAGTGCCTTGGCAATGGATGAAGTGATTAACCCACTAAAATAGGATGTCTGTCTGGGAATCACAGGGGTGGAGGCAGTGCAGGGTCTGTCTGTTCCCTTCCCTTCACGTGGCATTTATTGAGCACCTACTGCATGTGGGGACCATACTGGGCCCTATACTGCATGGTGGGTTTTTATGTTGAACCTGCATTGTGTGGATGGTGGTGAGTGTGTGTGTGTGACAGAAGGAATATCCTTGGAAAATACAGCATCTTCTTTGCTTTCCTGTTTCTACATCACTGGGCTAAGCTTGAGGAAGGGCCCCCCGTGGAAGACGTAAAGCCCCTTGGGAAGGTAGGGGTGAGACAAGGACCAGGCCTCTGGCAGGGACTGCAAATAGCGAGGAGTCTCATGCACTCAAGGTGCATTTCATGTTTGGTGAATGAATGAATCAGACATAAGCAGGAAAACCACAGGGGCCTATTGTGCTTTGTTCTGTTATTTGTCAAACAGGTCCCCAGTGGGCGCCTTTGTCAGGCCTGTGCTGGGCACTGTGACACTAATGAGAAAGACAAGGTGCCCGCCCGCTCTAGGACCTCACTGCCTGCTGGCCAAGACAGCTGGACACAAGCAGTGTCTGAGCTACAGGTCATGGCCTAAGAGGCCTAAGGACTTTGGGAGCACAGTGAGAGGTCAATATGCTCTGAGGGAGTGGGGGTGTTGGAAGGTTCTGCAGAGGAGGTCTTTTGAGCTGGGGGAGGTCTTCTGAGCTGAGTTGAAGGATGTATATGAGTGTTCAAGAAGGATTTGGGAAGGGTACATTCCTTCTGGTGGGTGCGGGGGGAAAGTGGGCTATCAGGCTTTGAAGCATGGTCAAGAATGGGGAAAGGTAAACAGCCTCTGAAGATGCAAGGAGATTGAGGGAGGCAGGGAAATTGAGTCTGGAAAATTCGGTGGGATCAGGATGTTCTGTGCAGGGCCTCACTTGTGCTATGGGGTTTGGGTTTTATTCCACCAATAAGGGGGAAACGATAACATATTTTTGACAAGTGAGAGATGGTTGACTTGGACGATCTCTCTGACAATGAAGTGGACACAGGGTTGGAGGTAGCCAGGCTGGAGTCAGAGCCTGGCTAGTCCCGTGCATGCATCTGTCTATTCATTCATGCAGTGTGTGAGCTTCCCGGGCTGCCATTACAAAGTACCACAAACTGTGGTGTAGAGCAACAGAAATGGATTCTT